GTGTGTGTGTGTGTGTGTGTGTCAGTTGTGAAAGGCAGCAGTGAGGAGAGTTCTCATTATTTCCACTGCTCTTATTGTTACCACCCTTGAAGATGGCAGCCTCCGCCGCCGCCACCACCAAATATTGATTGTCGAATATTAAATCACATTTGGTGGGCGGTTCTTTAAAGCAACATCGGGCCAGCCAGTAACATGGCAGCAAGTGGACGACAACTAATACATTCTAAATATTTTTTTTCATGTTAGGGAAAAAAACATTCACTTGTCAAAATTATAACTGAGGTATAGATCTGGCATTGCAAGTTTATGTAATGTATGAAGTTACTAAGTATATGTGTAACGTATGTGCATTTATATTGTGTTTGTTATCAATCATATCAGAAAATTATTTGGTTAATTGCTGAAAATTTGGCGTCTGTACCGCATACTCTCTTGACAGCGTTATTAAGACTTAATTATTATATATATTACTGCACATACCACCACTGGTTTCTGTTATACCACCACTGGTCTATCATACTACCACTGATCTGTAATATATACTTTAGTCTTCCCTCCTTTCTACCTTAATATTAATTACCAGTTTACCTATAGGTCTGCCCAGCTGAGGTTATGTGTATTCTTACCGATATGAGGTTTACCTGTAAGTCTACTCAACTGAGGTTAACCCGGTGGCTAAAGCTCCCGCTTCACACACGGAGGGCCCGGGTTCGATTCCCGGCGGGTGGAAATATTTCGACACGTTTCCTTACACCTGTTGTCCTGTTCACCTAGCAGCAAATAGGTACCAGGGTGTTAGTCGACTGGTGTGGGTCGCATCTTGGGGGACAAGATTGAGGACCCCAATGGAAATAAGTTAGACAGTCCTCGATGACGCACTGACTTTCTTGGGTTATCCTGGGTGGCTAACCCTCCGGGGTTAAAAATCCGAACGAAATCTTAGGCGTACCCAACTGAAGTTTACGTGTAGGTCTGCCCAACTAAGTGTTACCTGTTGGGCTACCCAACTGAGGTTTACCTGCAAGCCTATCCAACAAAGGTTTCATAGCATAAGAACAGTGGAGCACTGTGGTTCGACCTGTTAACCTATACTAGGTGAGTCCAACTAACACCCACCCACACCCATACACACACACACACACCCACTCATGTACCGTCCAATCTATATTTTAAGCTAGCCAAAGTTCTCGCCTCAATGGTGCTACCAGTGTGTTTGTTCCATTTGTCTACAACTATTGCCAAACCAGTACGTCCCTATATGCTTTCTAAATCTAAATATGTCCCCATAAATCCATTGCTGTAGGCAGTCTTTTGTTTCGATACTTTCATTACATTGCTTACATTTCCTATATTAATTATTATTTTCAGGAAAAAATTCTTAGTCTCATCTAGAGAGTGAAAGTTCGGTGCTTTCAGTTTATTTTCGGAAGAAAGATCTATGCTATAAAGTGGAGACCAGAAATGAGTAACGTAATCCAAATAAGGCCTTACCAAGGATATATCAAGCTGAAGTATAAACCGAGGACTCCTATTATTTATACTTATTGATATGAAGCCAAGAATTCTATTAGCTTTATTGTGAACACTTGTGCACTGTTGTTTCGGCTTTAGATTTCTGCTAATCAGATCTCTTAAATCTTTTTCACATTCACCTTTACTGATATTTAGCTTTTAAGTGCCATAGTTATTTTCTTTTCATAAGAAAAGAAAATAACCGAGTCTTTTCCGACAACATAACTTATCAGGTTATCTTGTGTCCTGAGCAGAAATTATCCGACATCCTATTTTAGTGTTATCGGCAAACCTACTTGTGTCGCTGTACATTTCCTCAGCTATGTAGATTGTGAACAATAAAAGTCTTAATACTTACTCCTGTGACACCACTCGTAATAGGTCCCCATTCTGGTTTCTTCCCATATATGTAAACGCTATGTTGCCTATCAGTCAACCAAGCCTCGAACTAGTAGATAATTTCTCAGCCCATACTATGCGCCGTTACTCTATTCACCAGACTCCTGTGTGAAAAAAGCCAGTCACTGGCTGTCTATAATATGGGGTGAATTCAAATTTATTGATGCATAACTCTGAGGCAGCCCGTCCTACAACAGACCAGTGCACTACCCACAGTGGGCCCCATGCTAACCTTAGTGTGTAAAGAAGTACACCTAGTTGAACTAATCTTATTAGGCTGGAAGGGTACAATGAACAGCGCATTGGCCTGCTAGTTTTATTACTGTCTTGTCAAGGGTTCGAACCGCAATCAGCTCAGCAAGTTCTTTTACAATTAAGTCATTCCAACTTCGCCAGGAAAGTCAAATTTCTGTATTATTATTATAATCAAGAGGAAGCGCTAAACCCGTAGAATTATTCAGCGCCTGTGGGGGTATGTGGAAGGTATTGAGGCTTAATTCGGGGAACTGCAGCACAGAGCCAATTCCCAAGATCAAGAGCCCCTCACCAGCATTAAGGGACCTTCCTTGAGGGGTCAAATTTCTGTAATATTGTGGGACTGAACACGTAATTATAAATTCTAGGAACGAGACGATACTATTTTTTTTTAGAAGAAGAAGAAGAATTAAGCACATTTACAACTAGGTCTCTTAATTATGTAGACATTTTGCCAACCAGTAGCTTTATCAGTACAATAGTCTAGCAGCAGGTGTTCAGTACCGTAGTCTTGATGAATCAGTATCTTATTCTTGATGAATCCCTAGGCCAAGGGACTGATTACCTCGTCTTCTACCTGTTCAATCATCTGTTTTTGTTCCTGATTAAGCTACTGGCTGGCAACATGTCTACGTAATAAAGATACCCAGTTTTTGCATGTGTGTCCGATTTTTCAGCTTGTCGGTATTATATACCATTGATGCTATGACAACAATTTTTGCCGATAACGATACTCATTAATATTTTCTAAATGCATTAGATAGTTCATTACCAAAGTAACTTGTTTAAGAATCACGAGTGTTCGGACCGAGTCCCTGGACCCAGTATGTAGCTTAGTAATAACATCACTGCTGCCCACAGATTGGTGTGGGAGGACAATAAAAATATCAATTACATGTGAAACCTTATCTTAGTTTCACCTGGTAATCATTCTCAAACATAAAGAAGACATGATGAGCAGACGACTAAGACCGTTTACGTTCTCAGCCTCCAATGGTTAATATAACTTAGGAAAACCCAAGAACGCAGCCAAGCAGTGTGGCATATTTTCATTGTGAGCCTTGGGTTCCTTCCCAGAGTCCAGTACATATTTACTGCTACGTGAACAGGACAGGTAAAGTTAGGTAAGATTTGTCAGGAAACAGTACAATTGTTTCCCGACTCGGGTCTTAGTCATATGATGACCTGCCACTAGAGATTTTGGTCATCTGACCGATGCCTTCCGCTGGCTTACCAATGAACCCCTTTAAAAAAATAAAATATATTTACAGGGCAGCAGGTGTTGGGAGACTACTCCATCTATACCTCACTGGCCGTCTAGGGTTTGAACTGAACACCACCATCGAGTTACTAAATACCCAAGCAAGAAAGGATGCTGCGGCTACTTCTCTCTTGTTAAAGTTCTGGTTCCAGCTTTCTAATACCAACTGAAAACTAAATCATGTTTGAAATTCTTACTCTTTTTTTTTTAAATCACGATGAGAATTCATCTCCTCCCCCCGCTCCATCAATCCATCCTTCCTTCCCTCTCTCCATCCCCCCACTAAATCCATCCATCTACCCATCCTGCCTTCCCCCCTCTCCATCCACCCTCCCCCGCTCCATCCATCCACCCTTCCTTCCCTCCCTCCCCCCCGCTCCATCCACCCTTCCTTCCTCTCTCCATCCTTCCTCCCCCCGCTCCATCCATCCTTCCTTCCCTCTCTCCATCCTTCCCTCCCTCCCCCACTCCATCCATCCTTCCCTCCCTCCCCCACTCCATCCATCCATCCTTCCCTCGCTCCTCCACTCCATCCATCCATCCTTCCTCTCTCCCCCCCACTCCATCCATCCATCCTTCCCTCCCCCCCCGTTCCATCCAGCCTTCCTTCCCTCCCCCCACTCCATCCCTCCCTCCCCCACTCCATCCATCGTTCCCTCCCTCCCCCCACTCCATCCATCCATCCTTCCCTCCCTCCCCCACTCCATCCATCCTTCCCTCCCTCCCCCATCCATCCATCCTTCCCTCCCTCCCCCACTCCATCCATCCATCCTTCCCTCGCTCCTCCACTCCATCCATCCATCCTTCCCTCTCTCCCCCCACTCCATCCCCTCCATCCTTCCCTCCCTCCCCCATTCCATCCATCCATCCTTCCGTCCCTCCCCCACTCCATCTATCCATCCCACCCTCCCTCCCCCACTCCATCCATCCATCCTTCCCTCCCTCCCCCACTCCATCCATCCTTCCCTCCCTCCCCCAGCTCCATCCATCCTTTCCTCCCTCCCCCCGCTCCATCCATCCATCCTTCCCTCCCTCCCCCACTCCATCCATCCCTCCCTCCCCAATAAACAGTGATAAATAGCTATGAAATTTTTAAGACAGTTAAATTAAAGAATTTTATATTACGTAAAATTAAAAAATCGGTTTAGCTGCTGTAAGAGTTTGTATACAAAGTAAAAACTGACACATCACGATTATTGGGAAGACAGTGAGTGACAAGAACTGGCAAGTGGAAATGAAGACACTGGTAGCAAAGAATCCTTATAATACAGCGTTTCGCCCAAGCCTTGGACGAAACGCTGTATGAAAAGGATCCTTTGCTACCATTGTCTTTATTCCCACATCACAATTATTAGAAACTACAAATTTATATATGTATTACAGATGAGACACGATGGGCATTTGTTCCTTTCACGTAACTACAAAGAAGTAAATACAGGTGTGTAGAGCGCATGTGATGAGAACTAAGGGGCTGTACTCCACCGCAAGTGACACACCAGAATACATACGTAATCAAACACTGATGGTAACAGTTTGAGTCAGACTACGATACAGGAGCACCCACTGGACTTACCTTCAGCAGACTGAAAATGGCGAGTAGATTGGGCAGTCGAGAGTAGCCTCTGCGCGACGAGGTCACTGATAGAGGAAGCAGCAGCAGTAGAATGAGAAGTAATAGAGGTAGTAGCGGCAGCAGCAGCAGCAGGAGTGGCAGCAGCAGCAGCAGCAGCAGCACTGTGGCGGAGAACCTGCTTGACTCCAGACATCCGCTCGCGGGCCAGTGCTTGCTAGGGTGACCCTCTCTATCCTCAGCTGAAAAAGTTAATTCCAGCGTCTTCTGGGTCTGTGGTAGCTGTAGCACCTCTACAGGACCCTCGCGTTCTTTTTTGGCAGCTCCTGGGGACTACAAGACCACTCTGTGGGTCTTTGAGACTGAGAAATGAAGTGTAACGGCTTCTGGCTTGAAGGGAGGCTATGGTGCTTGCAAGAATCAGGTATGGTGACTCCTCAGGTGGGCAAGTTAGGTGTCTGGGCGTTGCTTCTGGCGGCTCTACCACTCCTTCACTTCCTTCACACTCGCGAAAAAAAGAAAACTTTCGAGTGAAACAAAACACTGGCAAATTTTCTTATCTAATTTTATATATCATATATATATTTTTTGTATACGCGAGAAAACTGTCGCTGTCTGGGCCACGTAGGCAAAAAAAAAAAAAAAACTAGGCTACATAAGCAAACAGTTTATACATAGGCGAGTCACTGGGTAACGGAGATGCGTTAATAAACCAAGTAAGGAAGGAAGGTAACGGTGCGCGGGAGAGAGAGCAACGTGTGGCTCGCAGCGAGGCGCCGGGAGGGAAGGACAGAGGAGGGTGGAGTGTAGGAGTTAATGTACGGATAGAGTTGCCTGGAGGCGGCATGCCAGTGTCTCACAACCTGGCCATGCACACGTCTGCAACACACGGGCCTCCCACAGACACTGCTCCAACGCACACTGCTCGCCTGGGGGCATACCCGACCACTAGGCCCGGTGCGCCGCGACGGCTGCCTGCGGAACTCAACACCACCACCACCAAGACGACGGCGGCGGCGGCGGCGGCGACCACCCGGCGGGGATCGACAACCACCGGTGCCACACTCCTGCGTCAGGCACCTCACGCCCCGCCCAGCTCCACCTGTAGGGGAACAAACGCACTTTAGTGATAGTCTCTATACTCATCTGATGACTGATGATATACAAGCACACTTACTTCCTATGCGAATAGTCTATTTTATACCAACAGATTGACGACACGGTTTTAGTGTGATGTCTCTATTCTGATTTGTTACATAATACATTTATGACGCATCTTAATGTGATAGTCTCGGTATTATTCTTTTAGATGACCGATTCTACAAAGTTTATTATGGTTTAAATCATCAATAATATATTCACAACTCACAAATCTGATGTTAAAACTGGAGAGTGTTCCAGCCATGACATTTGCTATAGAAATGTGTTCGAAAATCTAATAACTAGTTCAGCTACCCCTCTAAGAAGGTTCCTTGACGCTGGTGAAATAACCGCTGTCGGGTTTTATATTTCACGCCACTGTATATCTATAGTGAGCGGCTCTTGATCAAAGTCTTGTGCTCTCCCTTGGATTGAGCCTGGATGCTCCCCACTCCCCCAGCCGTTGTATGACCCCTACTGGTTTACTACTCTTCCCACGAACATGTTAATAATAATCTAGCTCTGCTGAAAGTCATATTCTGAGTAAAAACAACAATTATTCTCTGAATGTCATGACACAGTCTGACATTCAGAGAGCAGACATTGTTGCAACTTACATAAACAGTATAAAATACAATGGTGACAAAAGATGATATAACCAAAGATAACCAAGAGAGTCGTCATTAGATCATCTCCATCGTGGTGCTTGTATCTGGGACGTACCAACGCTGGGCGCAGCTGCTGGAGCACTTAAGTTTGCCAAGTTAAATTTAGGGTCTATGGAAAAACAACTTGATTCATTAAAGCTTCAAATCAACTGCGAAGAAGTACACTAACGACAAGAATGCTTTCACACCTAACACAGGGATTAAAATAAACTCAGTGTACACAACACTCAGATATACACCTCTCGGTTTATACCTGTGTATTGAATGTGAAATAAAAAATGTGTATTTTACAAGATATTATTAGTTTTAAGAATTGGTTGAATGAGACCTCTAATCGATGTTTTGATTTTATTGCGCGTTCTTACTACAAGAGATTTGACAATGGTGTGTTTACAGAATAAATGTTCAATGGTTGCTCTACCATTCCCGCACCTGCAACAGCATGACACTCATAGTACTGATGAACGCACTCGAACACACCAGGATTTGCCCGCACTGCCAGCCATGCATCTTAAACACGTTCCAAAGTTCCTGCTGGCTGTCCACATCTCTTTTATAAACCTCGGTCTTCAACTGGTCCCAAAGGTAAAAATCCAGTGGAGTTTAGGTCCATTGACCTAGGAGGTCATGCAACTGAGCTACGTCATTCAATGCCCTGCTCCGGATACAGTACATCATTGTAATCTCTGGCCACACGGCTAAAGTGTGCTGGTCACCATGGATTTTTACCTGTAGGATCATTAGAAATCTGAGGGTTACAGAAGGGATGAGGACAACCAGCAGGAACTTTGGAACGTGTTCAGGATGCATGCCTGGCAGTACAGGCAAACCCCTGAAAGTTATAAACGCCATAAAACGCTAATTTTCAGTTGGTACTCACTCTTCTGTTATAATCCGTATTAAATGTTCTATAATGCTGTAGAAAAATATGATATTTTTTATTATTTTAAGAAGTTGAAATTTGTAGTATCCACATTGAGCTATTAAACAAGAACAGCCAATAACAAGTGAAATTTTGCAAATTGGAATCTACACAAAAAGTCTAAAGCTTTCTCTAAATAAGAAAGCTTGAAACCTGTTACATGAGATATTTATAAATTATCAAATGAAAATCGATATTTCAATATTCATACTATTATTAAAATTTGTTGCTGTAAGTTCATCCTCCAGAATCATCACATCTGATTAAATAGTTGTCAGCCACCACCACATTTAACCACTCAATACGCAACTGTTATGTAAAACATGATTTCCATAGTGGCCAACTTACCACTTACTGAACCAGAAAAATTATCAGAGAACGTATAGGCCAGCAGAAGATATTAAGATCAGCTATAAATTACTGTAAAATCACACAATGAAACAACAAAACTGTGACTAGACTACAATAACAAGTTCCATAGTTGTAAATGATGGCTGGGAACAATTTAGTACCACATTCATCGTCATTCTTGATATTGTACCAATAAAAATGGTTAGGTCAAAAAGAAGTGAATCCTGGAAAATTGAATGAGATATCAGTTAATATGAAATTCAGCGACCAGTTGCTGGAAAGGTTTAGGACAAACAGGCAAGCTGTTCCAGCGTTTTCTTCACTTTCTTCCTCGCCTCACAGGGTATGCAACAAAGTACACACGCTTATAAAATGACCAAATGCTAAGCCCTAGTGCTGGAAAATCGAAGAATACAGAAACAGTGCTAGAGAGCTATGGCAACAACTAAAAGCTTTTCACTTCTTCCCGTATTTTTCATTCTTTTCTTACGGTAATTTGTTGATTGGGGACCCGATCCTCAAGTGCCTTCCATGTGTATTTTATCACTATCTATATCTAACCTAACCTAAAGGTATACTGATCTAACATAGTGCTAGATACTGATAACAAGGTGTACATAAATAACAAAAACAATACAAAAAAAAACGCAATATAAGGTTGAAATTGGTTTTCGATTCCCTTGACAATCACACTGTGATGCAATACCAGTCGGAAAATCGCTACCGCATCTTTTTTCAAGTGTAACAATTTAACAAACACAAACACTTTTTCAATAATTTTAAAACTTAGTACAGTACTAAAGGTCTCACTTCAGTTTCCAACTATCAGGAGTGTATTATGTGCGGAAAGAACTAAGCAAGTTAAACCCAGCTAAAAGCACGGGACCAGATAACATCTCAGCCAAATTTCTAAATGATGATTCCTCTGAAATGCCAGTCCCCACAGCTCACATAATAAATTTATCCATCACCACTAATACCGTGTCAGAGTTACTCCCATTTGAAAAAAAAAAAAAAAAAAAAAAAAAAAAAAAAAAAAAAAAAAAAAAAGTCATATCTCGGCAATTATAGGGTTGTTAGTATATTCAGTGTGATGTCCAAAAATTCTAGACAAAACAGTTTATTATCAAGTAAATAAAATTCTGAAAAGCAATAACATACAATCACGTTTCAGACCTTACTCAACCGTTATATCTTGAGTAAATCTGACGGTCTACTCGACAACTTAAATGTCGTTAGAGAATATAACAGGCATGGTGACCCTAGACTTGTAAAGGGCATTTGATATAGTTAACCATAACACATTATGTAAGGAACTACGAGCTATCGACAGTCTTTGTAGAGTGATTCAAGTCTTACATGAGCGACAAGAAACAAATTGTCAAGTTAATAATGTAAAATCTTTGCCCTCCCTCCCCCCCCCTCCCACCTCCCCCCCCACCCCCAAACCTCCCTCTCCTCCACGTTCCCTCTCTCCCCCCCCTAACCTTCCATCCATCCCTCCATCTTCCCCCCCTCCCTCCCCCACCGGCTCTAAAGTAGCAGCGCCTTTAAATTTTACGTGGTAGTGGAGCAGTGCGCCTGTAGCCTTAAAAGGGCCCGGTCCCTTGATGTTATTAAAGGGGCCTCGATTTCAGGCATTGGAGGTCCCTCTTCCCCTTCCCCCGAATAAAAACCCTGATTACCCGTAGCTCCCAGTTCACAAGACTGTCTATGCGATGTTTGTGGAGGGTTTTGGGGGAAAAGGGGAAAGGGGTGGGGGGTGGGGATGGGGGTAGTTGGGGTGGTTTGTGTGGGGGGGGTGGCGTGGGTGTGGTGAGGGTAGGGGGGTGATGGGAAGGTGTGTGTGGTGAGGGGGGGGGGAGTGGGGGTGAGGATGGGGGGAAGGGTATGTGTGGGGTGGGGGTGGTGAGTGGAGGGTGGTGATGGGGGGTAGTGAGGGAGGGGGGTGTTGGTGGGGGAGGGGGTGTGGGGAGGGGGGTTTGGGGAGTGGGGGGTGGTGTGTAAAGGGTGGGGGTGGTGGTGGAGGGTGGGTGTGGGGGGTGTGTGTGGTGAGTGGAGGGTGGGTGTGGAGGGTGATGTGGGTGGTGGGGGGTAGTGTGTGGTGGTGGAGGGTGGTGTGTGGTGTGTGGGGGTGGTGTGTTGAGTGGAGGGTGGTGTGTGGGGGTGGGGTGGGGGGTGAGGGGAGGGTGGTGTGGGGTGAGAGGGGGGTGGTGTGTGGAGGGTGGTGGTGGAGGGTGGCGTGTGGTGGTGGAGGGTGGTGTGGGGTGAGTGGAGGGTGGTGTGTGGTGAGGGAGGGGGGTTTTGTGGGGGTGTGGGGTGAGTGGAGGGTGGTGTGTGGGGGGTGGTGGGGGTGAGGGGGGTGGTGGGTGGTGAGGGGAGGGTGGTGTGTGGTGAGGGGGGGGGTGAGTGGAGGGGGGTGTGTGGAGGGTAGTGTGGGGTGGTGGGGGTGGTGTGCGGAGGGGGTGTGCGGGGGGTGGTGTGGGAGGGTGGTGTGTGGAGGGTGGTGTGGGAGGGTGGTGTGTGGTGAGGGGAGGTAGTGAGTGGAGGGTAGTGTGTGGGGGGTAGTTGTGGGGGGTGGGTGTGGAGGGTGGTGTGGGGTGGTGGAGGGCGGTTGTGGTGTGGGTGATGGAGGGTGGTGTGTGGAAAGTGGTGTGTGGTGAGTGGGGGAGGGTAGTAGGGAGGGTGGTGTGGGGTGAGTGTGGGGTAGTGAGGGGAGGGTGGTGTTGGGGTGGTGGTGGTGAGGGGGGGTAGGAGGGGGGTGGGTTTGGGAGTGGAGGGTGGTGAGTGGGGGTAGTGATGGAGGGTGGTGTGTGGTGAGTGGGGGGTGCTGGTGGATGGATTTATGTGGTGAGTGGGGGGTTGGTGTGTGAAGGGGGTGAGTGGGGGGTGGTGGGGGAGGGTGGTGAGGGGGGGTGGTGGGGGGGTAGGAGTGGGGGGTGGTGTGTGGTGAGTGGAGGGTAGTGAGTGGGGGGGGGTGTGTGGTGAGGGGGGGGGGGAGTGAGTGGAGGGTGGTGTGTA